GTGATATTTTAATGTATCAATGGTGTTTTCCCTCGTCTTTAGAAATTTTTAAGTCTGTAAAAAAGAAGTTTTTGAGGAAGAAGAAGAAGTAGTATTTTTTTTTTTTTTCTAGATTTTTTAAACTCAGAAGCTGATCAAATATCGGGTTAAATATCGGTGGGGTGGCCGATGTCCGATATTCAGTTTTAAGGCCGATACAGGCCGATACCGATAGGGGGCCGATTATATCGTGCATCCCTACTGAAAATTATTATTGTGGTTGTCATTTTTTTTTAAAACTACCTTGAATGAAGACTGCATACATTTAATCAGTGTTCACAGTCTAATTTATCTGATCATATTGTAAAACAACCCCTAAAACCTTCAGAAATTCTTACTAATAACTAATATATCCAAGTTTAATTTTCTGTCTATTAATTGTTGCCTAAAGCTAGTTTGTTAGAGTTGCCATTTACTGCAAAGCCATCTCATTATCAGTTATACTTTATGTCAGTCGCAGGAAGGGGACCAGGAGAAGTGCTTGATGACAGGCAGGCTGCACTTTATCCCTTTGTCCTTTATCCTGCAGACAGACACATCCGTGCTCTCAAAAAAATAACCCTCAAAAAACCTTAAGACATTAATGGAATTGCTTTGGTTTTGTCAAAGCTCATTATTTGAATAAATTTTTAACATCTAATGTAAACTCATGCATAGCTCTTTGTTTTTTGTTTCCTTTTTCAGACAGAATATAGTCTTTTTTTTTTTTTTTCAAGTTTGGCAGCATTTTGCTTGAGCTCAGTTGTTTACCTTCAGATTCACCAGCATCCACTCATTTCTCCACACAGAGATGTTCATCTTGGGACACGGTGTGAAAAAGCTAAATAAAACCTCTGTCAAATAGCTCGTTTAGGTCTACATATGGGTCCACATTTCCTGTGGCTTAGTTTAGTCTGTAGCAGCAGTAAGTTTTTAGCGCTGAGAGGAATCGTTTTGGGGAATGCTTGTGGTTAAAGGTCAGTACATTTTCTCTTTTTTCCTCCTCTCTAATTTCAGAAAGAAATCTCATTACCGCTCCTGCCATGTAAGGCTCAGACCATCCCTGTTTAGTCTAGACACATATCCGGAACAGATGCATTTGTGCACACATAAACACATCAACATACACTCACTCTCTCACACACACAACCTATAGGAATGTGTGGGATTTTTATATAGATAAAAACAGCTTTTTCCAAGCATATAAAATGCTTGTGGCAGACCGAAGACGTAAAAAATCCAATCAGTTTTGCTGTTGGATTTCAGAGAACTTTATTTTTTCTCCCTCACTCTTTTTTCTTGTGTCCTCCACTGGTTCAGCCTCTCCTCCACCGTGTCCCCCCCTCTCATACTCCGCCCCTGTCCATTTATGTCTCTCACTTTTCAAACACACAAACCTGAATGCTCCTTTTAATTGGAATTATTTAGATCGGTAGTACTTACTGCTATTTACTTTGCTCATGAGAAAGTTTGTATCTATCCTACAATAAAACACTCGACCGACCAAACCTCATCTGGTGACAAAAATGGTTTGACACGCCTTTTCTTTACCAGCAGGTAATAGGACAACACATCTATCTTATAATCTGAATTGTTCAGTATCAGCAAATACTAAAAAAAAGTTTAATTTAAAGGCATATTAATAGAGGAAAAAGAAGTTTTATCTCCATACGAAACAACATAATTTCGATATAAAAATGTGAAAAGCTCAGAAACACTGCCAGGGATGCCCCTGGTAGATGACTCTGAAAACACAAAAGTTTTTGTCGTTATGTCTATGAAACCTCTCCAATATAACATTTATGAATTGTAAAAAAAAAAAAAATTTTAAATATTTTTATTTGAAGATACAAGCTGAACAGTTAAATGTGCATTTAACCTGTGTATTATCTCTCCTTCCTCATATTTCACTCAGATTTGATGACCTTCCTCATTTAGATGAAGCACTACATGGTTAATGTTTAAATATTTGTGCTTCCGTAATGGATTAATAATTGTTTAATTTCAGGTTCCTTTGGAAACATTTTGTAAACTCTTTGTGTCGGTTGCAGATCAGAGACTGGACCTGAACAGGCTGGGCCCCAACGACAACGACACTGTTAGAGGACAGATAGTGGGTAAGGACCACTTATGTTTCACTTATGTGCACTTCTTATTTCAGTTTACGTTATATGAATATGCTTTTAGAAAAGACTGTGTAATTTAAATTGAAGCCACAGTGAATATAGTCAGTAATTTTTTTTTTATAGCATTACCGTCTATTAAGGTTCATCATACGATGGAGTATTGGGGCCAGGCAAGAGTTTTTTTCCTTCTATTTCGAGAACAAAGCCTTAAAATTACGACAAAGTCTTAAAATTACAAGAAAAAAGTCAAAAAGAGAATAATCATAAAATTACGAGAAAAAAAAGTCGTAATATTACAAATATAAAGTCGTAATATTACAAGAATAAAGTCCTAAAATTACAAGAAACATGTTGGATTTTATGAGGACTCTTACAAGAGGAACTTTCTTCCCTAAACTGAGGAATGTCGAGCATCATGTGAATTTATACCTTGGCTCTGGTTTGACAAATAAGGAAATCTTTTAGCACCAGCATCAACTTGGACAGGATGTCAAAGTGGACTCAGGTTGGTGTTTGGTGGAGCTGGTCGGCCATCATATGCTGGTCGGGGCTTGAAGCTTTCTTTCTGAAACTGGTTGTTGTATGATGACTTCATTCTCGTAATTTTACAACTTTTTTCTAGTAATGTTACGACTTTATTCTCAAAATAAAAAAATCTCTAACCCTAATGCTCAGTCGTACCATCATACAGGTTTTCATTTGCTTATACCAAGTCTATTTTTTTCAGTATTTTTAACCCCTCATAATGAGCAAAACTCTTTCCTAACCAAAATAAAAATTGGTTTTGCTGCCTGGCTGGGTCCAACAGAACCCTGATACAGAACCTTTTTAGCGGTGCAGTCTGAGCAATAGTGAAACTTGGCGTTGCAGATTAGAGCTGCACAGAACACATCGTGTATGCTCTTTAAAAAGTAAAACTTTATAGATTGGCATGCATTTCTTTTTGAGGAAAAGATTTTGCTTTATATCTTTATCTTTTTGAGTATTTTTTTTTCTTTATTGTTGCTCATGAGTCTTTTTTTTTTGTTGCACCTATAGTTTTTGAATGGGCTCTAGAAAATTTCCTTGGCTTTACTTCGGGAAAATGAAAGAATTTTTATTAAGGGTGAAACAATTCATCAGATCATTGAAATAATTGTCAACTAATTTAGTAATCAATTATTAACTAGAGTATAGAAACTCTAAAACCTTCCTGTAGCTAACAGAGCATCCTACTTAGAGCAGTAATTATTCCAATATTGTAAAAATATATACCGGTATCAATATTTTGCATAAAAAAGCAAAAAAAAAAAAAAAATGTTTTTGACCTGGTTTAATTCTTTAATTATCAGATAGCAAAAAGTTCCTTGAAAATTATTTTTTTAATCGATTCGTCATAAAAATAATCAACAGATTAATCGATTCACAAAATAATTATTAGTTGCAGCCCAAATTTGAACCATATTGCTATTTATGCATAAGTCTCTAACATTTATCTGTTTTAAAATTTGTACATTTTACAAATGTAATTGTATTTTCTAATTGAGCAAAGTGGTTTGTAAATGTTCCTAATTAACTTTCTCCTGTTTTTTTTCTCCCCATGAAGTGAGTCTTCAGTCCAGAGATCGCATTGGATCAGGTGGACCAGTGGTAGACTGCAGTCGTCTGTTTGACAATGATTTACCGGACGGGTCAGTAATAGGCTTTCCTTAGATATTTAATCATCAGAAAAACATTAAACTTTTTTAACTGCTTAAAATAAACCACATGGAAATATCATTAATCCTTTAGCAGAAGACGAAATGAAATAAAATTAGAAGCAGACCCGTTTTTTCCCCTCCCTTTTTTAAAATATTTTATAGAATAATCACCATTTTAAGTATCAGAATCTGTGTAATGGTTAAAAAATATCACCTTTTCTCTTGTTAGGGTAACTATGCAGTCTGAAGTATTAAATTTTTTTTTTATGTTGTGATGGCAATAAGTTTACCAGTGTGTTTTAATGGCTGCATGAACAGGTGGGAGGAGAGGAGGACCGCGTCTGGAAGGATACAGTACCTAAACCACATCACTCGCACCACACAATGGGAGAGACCCACCAGGTACGTACATGCCATATGTATTATTATTTTAGAGATTTTTTTTATTTATGTTGACCAAAATGATACATCTAAAATGCATTTGTTTCCCTAATGAACTATAGTAATGCTAAATGTCCTTTTCCCACTTCCCTTCATAGAGAGGGGAAATAAAAAAACGCTTCCTCTTAAAAGTGCAACAATAACAGTCTGTTTGTAATGAGTGCTGTAGTTTCCTCCGTCCCTCCACCTCCAAAGGGGGTCGTATGTACTCTCACAAAGCAGACATCTATGTTCGCAACTAAAAAAGCCAGCCAGTCAGTCCGGCAGTCCTGCTTTACTCGCTGCAAGATCAGCTGTCGCCTTCCTTCTTGGCCCGTATCAGTGGAGCCATTAGGGAAGCAAACAAATAAACCTCAGCACCTTCTCAGCCGGTTGTACTGTGATCGGTACTGAGAAGTAAAGCAAAACCCTTTTTTAAGAGTGAGTAATGGTGAGAAATTGGGTCACAGGGTGAAACAATGAGTGAAAATTTATGGAGAGCAGGTGAAAAAAAAAAAAGAAGAGAGTGTTTGATCCATTGATAAAAAAAATTTGAAGTAAAATTGGGGAACAGGAGAGATTGGTTTGGGTGCAGAAACCAGTGGATGAATGAAAACAGGAGAGAAAAGCGGAGGCAGTGGTGGGGAGAAACGAGAACGGTGATGGAGGAAATGGGTGGGAGAAAAAGTGTGTTTAAAAGATTTCTGAGTCTCAGGCTTTAGATAGCCGAGGCGTCAGCAACTCTGGCCAGACGGTGGTTAGACTGCTATACATACAGACACATAGAATAGCCCGTCTCTGTTTGTTTCTTCTTATCACATATCTGTTTTTTTAAAGTAACATGTTGGAACAGGCTGTAGGTCATAAAGATTTTTGTTTTGTTTGTTTCTTATCTGACATATATAATATTTGACATCACTGAACACGTTTTGTTTATGCTAACAGCAACATGACCAACATGTCATGCTAACCCCAAAATCCCTCATACTCCGTCAGTCAATCCATTATTTTTTGGGGGATTTTTTCATTAATTTCATTAATTTTTTGGGGATTTCGGTGTAACAATCAACGTATACCGAACCGAAAACCGTGACCACGAAACCGTGAATCGAACCGAACCATGGATTTTGTGAACCGTTCCGCCCCTAATGTGTATAGATTAGTATCATCAAATAAATTACCCTACCAGTGAGAGCTTTAATGTATGTTGTTTACTTGTATTAAACTGTTTAGTTTCAATGACAGATATAGATGGCATGTTAGCAATCACTTCTCTGTAATTAATTTTGCATCTATCCGGTTAAGGGGAATTAAAACCTAGTTTAAATACAGGTGCTATTAAAGTTGTAGGGAAGTCATATTTAAATGTCAAATCATTCTGGCTTAAACATGTATATAAATGTATTCTTTATCAGACGATATTGTCAGAAAAGCTAGAAAATCTCTATTTAAAAAAAACTCCTGTCTTAAAATCTGTTTTTTTTCCTCGGTTTTTTTTATGCAGGCCAGTTAGTTATACGTCAGCCTGAACACCTAAATTCAGCAAATCAAATATCAACGGTCATCTGTCAATCAAATGTTTTCAGTCATAGCATCTTTATTCATATGTCGCAGCTAATATACACAACGGTTGAAATAAGAAATAAGAATCATTTCCTTTCCCATTGAGTTCCGTCTCAGTGTTCACCGGGATGGACTCTTCCACAACATCTTCATCCCCACTTTCCTCCTCTAAATAAAAAATGTATGACGGAGGAGAGTCATCCACGACCTCCGACACAAAACTCTCCTCCTCTTGCATGTTTCCGCTGTCCATAGCGTTCCTTGACAGTGTTGTTTCTAAGTCACCAATTTAGTGCTACTTTGTCCCAATGGAATTTCCCATTGGGAACCTACTAGCACTAAGTTGCTAACTGGTTAGCAAGATGCTTCAGAGAAACCGGCCACAAACAAACTTGCTTGCAAACTTTCCGCCACAACAACCCTGCCCCCATGTTAAACGACCATCACATTCACTTTATTCACTCGTGTAAAGCGTGCGCCACTCAGGAGAATTGGGAAATGCAACAGTTGGAACAGCCGCTTCCCTACGACTTGAAGCCCTTTAAACGCCTAAGCGAACACGCTCTCTTCTCTTTTCCAGGCCAGCGTCAGAGTACTCCAGCCCATCAGGGCGACCACTGAGCTGCGTAGTGGATGAAAACACACCAGTAATGACTCCCGTTAACGGGGCTGTTGCCAGCGGGCCTCCAGGTGAACAGAGAAACCAGGAAAGAAGGGTTCGGTCGCAGCGGCATCGTAACTACATGAGTCGAACACATCTGCATACTCCTCCTGATCTGCCTGAGGGCTACGGTAAGAACCAAACTTATTCCCTAAAACACCTCTTGACTCATCCATGGTTTTGCTTTCAGCGAAATCACAATTACAGGTACATTTAGTGACGTACGTTTCTAATTGTGAGCATATTTTTTGGAAATCTGGTATATTTTCAGCTTTCAAGCTCATGAAGACAATGAATCTTGTTCATGCTTGTGGCTAGTTCAAAGGCAAATAAAAAAAAAATTGCGATATGTTCAAACCCTGTTTGTGATGAATTTCTTTATCAGTATGCTCCTAATTTCTACCAAATCTCCTCTAATGGCTTCTTAGGATTTTACCAAACTCATCTAAACGCCTCCCTTAAAACTTAATGCTTCACAACAAGGATCGTCTACATTTTCAAATTAGATATTGATAGCAAGGAAAATATCTAAACTTGATGCACTTTTCGATACCATGGAAATAAAGATGACAAATAACCAAAGGCATAAAAACATTTTTATTAACATGAAAAACTCACCATTTTCAATCGCAACATGGAACATACTTTCTAAACAGAGTCAGAGATGCTGATTAAAAAGTGTGCAAATAAATGCCAAAATGAACAAACCAAACAACACAATTTAAAAGATATTTCAAGGTTGTCTGAGGCATTATTAGTTTAATGTGCAAATAATGCAGAAATCCATTTATGACAGCAGAAAAATGCAAACAGCGCTTGTCTTTAGTACCTATGCCACACCAAATTAGAATTATATTCAGAGACAGCATCGGTGCTATTGATACTAATGATACAAACCTATACTTTAATGTGAAATTTTTTTTATTAGCCTTTCATTGTTGCTTCTGTTGCAACAATAGGTCATTAATAAAGAGTATAAAGAGGCTCTCATTTTAATATATTCCATACAAAACCCTTGGGGTAAAAAATACAATAAAAGTTTGACTATCTTGATGAGCCGATGAGAACTAATTAGGTACCAGGTCTGATTTCGCACCGGCTCCTGAAAATATTGCAACCCAGAAAAAGTATTTCCTTTGACACACTTGCTAAACACCTACTCATGTCCAAGATGACTCATTATATTTCTAAATTGGCTTAGTCGAGAACTACTGACTGAAATATCTCCTCAAACTGTTAGTTTTTATGAGGGTGCATATAGATGTTTCAAAAATACTCAAAACGGACCATAAAGTTTGCTCATATTGATATCAACTTTTAAACCATTCGTCGAAGACTTCTGTTTTCTCTTCATAAAGATTAGGTGCTTTCCATTGTTCAGCATTGCTTGTCTTATACAGTGCAAACACACTGGAAAAAGTGGCATGCTGGGAACTTATTTAGCAACACTGGATTTTTTTTTTTTTCTTCAGAAATGTGCACTTTCAGGATCAAGCCACAGTCCAAACCACATTACCCTCAGAGATCGTTTTCTATATGTCAGTGTTTCAGAATGACCCTTTTGGGCACTTTTCCTCCTCTGGAAGGTCCATGAGTGTCCAGCGAGGCTTTTAGAGGTAGGGTAAAGTGAGTCACTGATGGCCAGCAGCTTAAGAGCTGTCTCCCTCAGCTGAACTCTCTGAACTAACCCTCTGGGTGTGCCGAGACAGAAACGGAGGCAATGTGCAACAAGGGGAAGAGGGGAGAGGTATAAGGAAACGAGAGGTGCCAGTAGGAAGCTGGGCTGGGGGTTGCTGTGATGGATTAGCTTTTGAATACGTATACAATAACAGTGCACCCATGAAGCAGATTTTCTGCCAAAACTCACAAGCTCTCTCCAGTTGTCAGGAAATGTGATGGAAGCAAAAATCTAACAAGCTTAAAGCTGAAAATGCCCATTTCTGACAGTTATTAGATATTTTTAACAATTTATTATTGAGTCTTTCTTTTAAAGTAATCATAAAGTTTTTCCATTATGGTTATAATAACTAATAATAACATGCAATTTATTTTTGCATGCACAATACCCCCCTAAGGGTTAACATCTATGTTTTTCATAGCAAGGAATGGTCAAATATGGGTTATTTCTTATCAGTACTGTCATTTGCAACAATAGTATCATATTTTTCTTGTTGCATGTTTTTCTTGCAATATGCATTGATTACAATATTCATAAGTAAAGCTGTGTATCGCTGTCAACCCATGCTTTCATCAATGTTTTGCTTTTTTAGGATCAGGTTATGGAAGGTGGAAATTCACTGGACAGGATCAAAAGGACTCCTTTGTGATTTTCATTTTTTCAATTCCTATTGAACGGTTAACAGAGAGCAGTCAGTGATGGGAGCATTTTCTTCCCACATGCACTGCATATTTCAGCTCTCCCATTTTTTATATCACAAACATCATCTTTTGGCTGCCCTGATCCTAATTTAGGCTGCATGTAGCCTCCTCCCTTAGGTTTTGATATAAAATGATAATAATTTTTCTTTTTTCTTATCTAACCTCACCAAGGATTGATCTAGTAACCTTATAGTATAGAAGCTGTGTTAATTTTCTCCAAGTCCTCTGGGATTGGCCTACCCAGGGCTGGGGAGGAGCGAGTTGATCATGCCAGAAGGCACATACCTTAATAAAGTGTTAGTCAACAGAGTCCCAAAGGTTTTAAAAATGGACCCCCTTCTCTCAATCTTCTTTTGGCCAATGGTTGTTTGGCTACACAGCAAATTTCTTATCAACTACTTGAAAGTTTGCTTAATTTTTTTCAGTTTTTCAATTCAGTTTATTTATATAGCGCCAATTCACAACACATGTCATCTCAAGGCACTTTACAGTTCAACCAGATCATACAGTGAAATTGATTCGAAGTTTTCTATCTAAGAAAAACCAGTATATTGCATTGACGCAAAGGCAATCCCTCACACTAAGCATGCTTATAGTGAGAGTGGAGAGAAAAAACTCCCTTTTAACAGGAAGAAACCTCCGGCAGAACCAGGCTCAGTGAGCGGCCATCTGCCGAGGCCGACTGGGGTTCAAGGAGACAGAAGCAGAGATACAAAAAGCAGCTGTAAAAGGTGGCCCTGTCCAGGAAACACACAGCCAGGCAGACGAGCTCCAAGGCAGCTCCCATGCCAGAGGACGAAGAGAGCACATCCACTCACAATCAGAGAAACAGGACTACTCTGAGAAAAAAAAGGGCAATCACAAACATCTGTAAGCAAAGGTGCAGCACATCAGCATACTGATATTTCTCTCCAGGATGGAGTCATAGCCAAACGGGAACAGACGAGGCAAAGCTACTATGAGAAAAAGGAGAAAGAGCAGAACTTTAGAGATTAAACTAAGATTCTGCAGAGTGGGAGAATAGAGATGGAATGAAGCAGAATGATGAAATGGGGGTCCCTATGTCCTCCAGCAGTCTAAGCCTATAGCAGCATAACTATTGATGTAGCTCATGATAACCTGAGCCACTCTTACTATAAGCTTTATCAAAACAGAGAGTTTTAAGCCTACCCTTAAAAGTAGAAAGGGTGTCTGCCTTACAGACTAAAACTGGTAGTTGGTTCCACAGGAGAGGAAACTGACAAATAAAAGATCTGCCTCACATTCTACTTTTAGAAATTCTAGGAACCACTAGTAAACCTGCAGATTGAGAGTGAGGTGCTCCTTTTTGCAAAATAAAAAAATAAAATCTAATCAAATGAATTTGTTTTTCAGAGCAAAGAACAACCCAACAGGGCCAAGTGTACTTCCTCCATACACAGACCGGAGTCAGCACTTGGCATGACCCCCGAGTTCCCAGGTACATCCTTTATCTTTCTGTCTGTATGCCGATTATGTGTTGCATATATGAGCATAAAAATCTTAGAATGTTGTTTTACAATTTGGCGCAGATACCATCTGCTACATAACCAGTTAAGGTACATATAAATTTCTGTGTATTCTAGTTTATCTCAATCTTACAATCCTGTTCAACAGGACTTTTTATACAAAAATGATGCCAGTTGGTCCGTTTACCTAAAAGGACCAGCCAAATGCCTCTAGTCATCGACTCTTAAGCAATCCCTCCTCCTGAGCAAGTAGGTTGCGACAGTGGTGATAAACAACTTCCTTGCTACAGGATGATACCTCATGCTTAACCAGACTCAGAACAGAAAAAGATACCAGCACTGAACCAGGGGTACCTTCTATAGAAATGGAAGCCTAAGAGTATAATGAAACTATTGCTCTGAACATTGTTGTATTTGATGTGAATAAACATGTTAAATACATTCGCTAGCTTTTGAAGCTAATATTGAAAAGGAAACTGGACTTGGTTGGTCCGGAGCAGGTGCCATTTCTCATCTTGTTGCTTTTTTTGTTTTCCGAAATTGCCTTTTAGTTCAGTTTTAATCAGGGTTTTTTAATCAGTTTGATACTCAACGGTGCATTCAGTCATGCTGTTTCACTAACACTTAATAGTTTGTTACCAAATTCCCTAAATATTACATGCAGAACTGTTCTTCTGCATTTTTGGCTGCGTCTGAGCATGAGGACAACATCCAACCCACAGCAACAACATCTGGCTTCAGTCATTTTAGACAGAGCTGCTGGAATGACTCGGTAAATGTGAGGAGGAAAGGAATTCAGTGTTTCACTCCTGACTGTGTCCTCACTTCACACACAAAAACAAAATGACCAAAATGTTGTCCCAGATCAGTATGTTTGAGATAAACAGGAAAAAAGAGTGGGAAGAATAAGGAATGCAGACCAAGGTGATTACATCTAATTTTTATCTTAATAAAGTTTGCTTTTCGAATGTTAAAAGAATACCTTCCAACTTCATGAAGCATGTTCCCAGGTTGCAGTGCATGGTGTCACGCAAAGAAGCTGCAAAGGTGTCAAATCTGAGCTGTAAAAGTGATAAATATTTAACAATCCTTAGTAACTTTTCTAAGCATTTTTGCTCAGTTTCCCCCGAATAAATATATTCTGACTCATTTGGTCCGAGGTCCTGTTTTTAATCTGCATGTTTGCTCTATGTCTCTTTTTTTCTTTTTTTGCTCTAAGGGACTTAAGCAATGTAAACTGTGAGGAGTTGGGGCCACTTCCTCCAGGCTGGGAGATCAGAAACACTGCCACCGGCCGCGTGTACTTTGTTGACCACAACAATCGAACAACACAGTTCACAGATCCACGACTGTCTGCTAATCTGCATCTAGTTCTCAAGTGAGTATGTTTCATACATGTTCAGACACAGAGGAGACATTTAAGATCAGTGCAACATTATTGAATACTCAGATATGTAGAAACATGAAAGGGGGGGCTGATTCTACGCTGAACATTGACCCATATTTGACTTTTCCCCCCTGTGCCTAGAGGGGGGGAGGGTAAGGAACGCATATAATATCTGCTGCTCACCTGTTTGGCCACTGGAGCAAAACAGGATTTTGGTTGAGTTCCTGAAAAAACTGGAACGTTTTGAAAACAATCTGTTGGACTCAGCCAAGAAAAAAAACAGCATAAAGTTGGTCATCTGTGGATGTTTCTGCAGGTTAATGAGTCTAAGTAAGCACAGTATTGGTTTAGGAAAGGCTGAAATCAACAGTCTTCCATGGTTATATCAGTCTGCAGGCTAAAATCCTGCAAAAACTTTGAAGGGTGACCTGAAGACAACCCTGCACTCGAGGTAATCGGCCTCCTGCAACCTTTAGATGGGTTCCCAGTCCAGCTCATCAAAACAATAAATAACCTCCCCAGATTGCAACTTCTTAGTTCCTTTTTAATAGTCAAATTATTTGCAGAAGCAAATAAATAAAATGACAAATTATTTTCTCCCAACAGCAGTTATTTTACTACTTTTACATCTTTATGATGGTTATAGTTTGATCTGAGCATTCTTTGATCTCTGTGTATCTGAGTCTGGAACATATTCAGGAATTTGGTCTGGTTTTATATTCCCACTCAATGATTGTAAGCGCCAAATATTTTCCACTCTTATTTTATCGTCACTTTAAGAGACAAAAGACGGTTCCTGGTTTGTATAATGTGGATCAAAGCAATTCTAAATATTGAGATTCGAATACTTTATTCATCACATTAATGATTTTCTTTTTTCCGTCTTCTGATCTGTTTGCTGGATGTCTGTCTTTACTTTCATGTCATCTTGTCCATCTTTTCTTCTGACCCGCTTTATCTTTCTATGTGCTTCTCTGCTTCCCTGTATTTTTTCCTCCTTTTTCTTTTCATTTATTCTGTTCTTCTTATTCATTTTCCCCTTTGTCACATCTGTTTTTTCTGTTTCTCTCTTAAACCCATCCTTATTCTTTATTCGCATCACTTGCTTCGTCTTTTTAACTTACACTCTTTCTTTTTTTCTTCTGTCCTCTTGTTTTCTCCAGCAGCCCAAGTTCAAATGGTTCCCGTGTGGCCACGGACAGCCAAAACACTAACCTCAGGTAACCCGCCTACAAACACACACACATACAGACACCCATTTGTACTGAAAATAATGTGAATTCTTGCTATTTTAAGTAGATGATAAAAAGTGTATCTGCAAACACTGACATGGTTTCTTCAGAAAGCATATGGGCCACGTAGCTTTTTTTATACGTGACTAACAGTCTTTGTTTTGTTGTGTTGAGAAAACCTGTCGGTTTGTCTTTAGTAATTATCCTGACTGACCTTGTTGGACTTGATTCTGTGTTGCCTGCCCCACTCGGATAAATGCAAAATGCTTATTGGCACAGTGGTTGCTTGCTCACTCTGAGTTCTTGGCACTCCTTACAGCAACAGTGGAAATGAAGAGCTCAGCTTGAAAAAAGTGACTTTTCATTGCATTTCTATGATAAACAAAATTAGAGGATGTGTTTTGGCTCTCTGGGAGGCCCTTGTGTCTTTAGTGACTCAGACTTTTCCAGTTTTGCTGCTTTTTTTATGGTTTTTGTACAGAATCTTTTTTGGAACTACGTGCAACAACGGTGTCTGGCAGGATAAACATGTTTGGGGAATCAACATCTGGTCATTTGGTCAAATAGCATCCATATGTGTCTAAACAGGCTCTGGTTTGGAGCTGAAGCTCAGCCTTGCTGCCTGTCACCATCTTTACTTGCTTGTCTAACCCTATTTGTAGAGAAGTGATTGAGTCCAGATGAAGCTTAAAAAGGTCAATGCTAATGAGGCGGGATATGTGATGTGGCTCTTTTGAATTATTTAGCATAAGAATGGAAGAGATGGTTGTGGTCTTGTTTTAGTTAATATGGAATATAGTTTGGATTATTTACGGCATTTGAAATGGAGTATTTACAGATATTGCAGATAAACACACACACACAGGTGCCTGAATACAAAAAACCTATTAAATAACACTTATGAATGTAAACCTGGTGAGAAAGACAAACCTGTACAACCAGTTAAATATCTTTATTTCCAGCTTCATCCGTTTGTTTTTAACCAGCTTCTCTAAATGTTGCTCTTCTGGTTTGTAATCATCTTATGTTCTAAAACCAAAGGGTTGTCCAAAGCTGGGTGATGCCGCTTACAAATCAATTAATTAATCATTTTGTATCCTTCTCTTTTCAGTTTCAGCTAATGTACGCAACGGTTGAAATAAGAAATAGGAATCATTTCCTTTCCAATTGAGTTCCGTCCCAGTGTTCACGGGGATGGACGTCTGTGTCTTCAGCAGGCGTAGAGCTAACAGAACTGGCAGCGTTGCGAGGCAAGGGCTCAAACATGTACGGCTGTAAGCCTTCTACACCAAACCAAGCTTCCGCCGCCCTGGCGTCCTCTTCCACAGCAACTTCGTCCCCGCTTTCCTTTCTCTAAATAAAAAATGGATGACGGAGGAGACTCATCCACGACCTCCTACACTAAACTCTCCTCGTCTTGCATGTTTCCTCTGTCCATGGCGTTCCTTGACAGTGTTGTTTCTAAGTCACCAATTTAGTGCTACTTGGTTCCAATGGAATTTCCCATTGGAAACCTGCTAGCACTAAGTAGCAAACCGGTTAGCAAGATGTTTCAGAGAAAACAGCCACAAACAAACTTGCTCGTGAACCTTCTGCCACAAAAATCCCACCCCCTTGATAAACGACCAATCAGATTCACTTTTTCACCCGTGTAAAGTCGTGCACCACTCGGGAGAATTCGGAAATGCAACGGTTGGAACAGCCGCTTCGCTACGACTTTAAAACAATCATGTTTCACAACAAACAATAATATAATCGCAAATGTTTGAATCAAGTGATATCACACAGTAAACTAGTTTATCAGTTTTTACAGTACATCTGACAACAAAAGTTTAAGTGTATTGTATTGCACATATGCATTATGAGTAAACAAGAAAGTAGATTTTCCAGTTGAGGTGTGGAAAGGAAGAGAAAAAGTCATAAATCATGGGTGGGGGAAAAGGGCAGAAAATTTCAGATGCCTAAAGGGATCAGGCTGCAGCACTCAAAATTCGACACTGAAGCTGGTGAAGAGCTGCTGAAGCTGCCAGCCTGATGAACATGCAAGTAGGTTCAGCCAGCAAATGGCGATGATGTACATCGGTGCTTTTCTTATCAGGAAGGTGCAAAAAATATTTAAAGGACCAGGTAAACACTATCAGTTGGAAAGCGCGTTGGGATGTATATCTCTTTTCGAAGATGAATATTTAGTTTTATCTATGGAATTCATTCAGTCATGCTCTATGAAATCCACTTTTATTTGTTCCCAAATTCCGTTAACTATTTTCTCCAAATTCCACTTTATCCGTATTCATCATTTTGTATTACAATTTTTCATTTTTTTCTCTATTTCATGTTTTTTCCCCAACTATATTTATTAACCCTTTCATTTGGATCAGACTACCTACAGATTATGACCAATAATCCACAAATAATCACTAACCATACAGTTCCCCTGACAAAACCTTTTTGCCAAAAAAACTGCCTGACTCACAAATATATTAAAATATTATAAGTCATGCAAAGACTTCTACATTCACAAACAATATTTTAGATAACCTCCTTTATTGTGGTGTGCTAGCACCAGTTGTTTCGTTGACCACAACATATATTTTTATATTTTTTTTTACCCTTGCAATTTCTTCTGCATAACCGCCATATGCTAATCGAACACCTGGGATAGGTGGGTTTTAAAGGCGCTGCTTACGTGTTCTGGCAGCGCACCCACTAGCTTACACTCCTTTTCCAAAAATGGACAAAGCTTTCTCTTTTTTCTTAAGGAATGTCTGATTCCACACAAACGACAACAAATTCTTCAATTAATTCACGCTTTGCTTCCGCCGATGTTGAATTCTTAAGAGTTGGCAGATGTGTGTGGCTCGCGCTAGCTTCCCTCTTCTCCTTAAATAAAGTGTTTTTACCCTTAATTTGAGTAGGTAAAATGAGCTAGTTTGCCAATGGAATGAGTATTTTTACTCTTGTCTTGTTCCACTGGAAAAATGTCTCTTTTACCTCCTTAATACAAGAATAAATGCACTTATTTTAAGAAAAAATGACTCGTCACACGGGTTCGTATGCTTCCAGTCGACCGTATCCTGACATAACTTGCAGAAAACTTGTTCCCCAGATTCATAAAAATCATGGGGATATCATTCTGCCCTAAACTTTGCTCTAAGTTTAACATTTTTAAATTTTCTGGATGACCTGCGTGGCTCTTAGACATGGCTAACCTACATTTTCTTGTTGGTGTTGAGACAAGAGAACGCCCCAATGAACTACATACGGGAGCAGGCAGTGGACCAAAGACCTTGCATACATACCACTTCTTTCCCAAAAGAGTGAATTCTACTACGTGTTTTGTAATACATTCCATTTTATTTGCTTCATTCTCGTGAATCAGTCTGCGTTTTCCGCATCAAGGCTGCTAAGTATGTTACTGGGCCCCTTTTTAAGATTCCAATATTTAACTCAATCCATGGTAACGCTTTTTTGTTTCAAGATTTCAAGAATTCCGCTGCTAGGGTTTAAAGCTCACTTAATGGCATGTCATAAGTAATTCACAAATTTACCAAGTTTGTTACCAAGAACAGAGTGACGTGGCTGTACATTCCATCCGCCTTTACCTGTTATAGTGCACTGCCAGTAGGCTGCCTGGGACAAGAAAAATAGGCTCCCATGCTCTCCCTTGTTTTGCAGAAAGACAAATTTAGCTGTTTGGAAATGCCTCTAGTCCTAAAACATGGGCTCTCATTGTGTGGGGCCCAAAGAAGCCACTCATTAATCTTACTAACATAACTGTGTTTTACATTTACAGCTGCCGTGGCATATGTGCGTCAAGCATACAAGGCTAAACATCATAACCTGACTAATTACCCAGTTGATATTAACTGTAACACATGTGTTTCTATTTAAACAGCAAAAAGTTTTTTTTTTATATATCATAAGCACTTAAAAAAAAAAAAAACTCAAATACCTTTAGTTGATGTGATAGATCATTTTGAAATTACAGTAGTGCTTTAGGTGTCATTATTAAAACCATAATATTCATTATAGCAGCAGTAGAATTGATTTTCTGCATTAAATGGATTACTTAGATTGCTGGACATGTGTTGCTCTATATTCTAGTGTAAAAACCATAATACTATGCTACTTTTTACTCCAAATCACTCGATGAGAAATTCCCAGCCTGGCCTTGCCTACTAAGCTCTCGCATTGTTTGATGATACAATTCAGTGATCAGCTGGTAATATTACCAGCGTTTCTATGGAAGGACACCAAAAGTGATGCTTTTAGAGAAGTTAGATGTCACAATTAGTTGTTGTTTGTGTTTGGGGTTTATGTCAAGTTCTGCTTTTGTTGCTGAGTGTAGAAAATAGTACAGCCAGTCATACCTTGTCAGTCTAGAAAAATTTCTTCCTTGTTTTTTTTTCTTATCTTTATCTCCAGCATTTATCTCCTTTTGATGTTTGTTGTCAGCCCCCTCAGCTAAAGAGGAAACCATAAACTTAAAACATGACTTGTAAAAAGCTTGTAAACTACTTTGGGCAAATTATTATTTTTTTTATACATTTAATAAAAATGATAAGAGGATGGAGATATTTTCAGGGGAGAAACACTTAGCTGAATTGGTGTGCAGGTTTTCTCGTTGTTGGCGTTTGTTTTTCTGAATCGGTTGCTCTAAGTTGACTGTAAATAGATTTAGGTTTACGCTTTCCACTGATGACAGGTTGTTGACTCGTGTTCAGCCGACAGTTAACAGCTTCTATGGCCTCATAACTCGGAACACCTGCCAGATCCCAGAGTCTTTTGGCTTGTATTGATGAGAGTAGACTACAGAGATATTAAAAGATTAGTTAAGTTGCACAAAATGTTCTGGGCTACCACTATATTTTATATTAAAGATAATCATGGTGATTTGCAACCTTTGTTTTCGACCACATATTTGCATGCAGGCCAGACAGTTCGGTTGTGGTCTTGTACGACCAGATCACTTTCTTCCCCATTTTTTT